TGCGTGTGTGTGTGTGTGTGTGTGTGTGTGTGTATTAAACAAAGCAAGGGAGGAGGAGAGGGTATGCAGAGACAGTTTCTTTGCATGAGAGAACAGGAGATGAAGAGTGCGAATTGTGTGTGTGTCCTGTATAGCTATCTTTGTAAAAATCAATGTTTTATGGAATAATGAACATTTTTTAATTAAGAAGCCATCTGAGGTCATTCTAGATTTAAAACACATGAGGTCAATGTAGAACATTTAGAGATTTTAGCAAAGAGAGACGACATAATTGCAAAACCTGTGTAATTTTGCAAAATTCACATTTGAGGAAATTTATAATTTTAATGGTCTCTGTCTTTAATAAAGATATTTAATGAACTCTATATATTTTAGAAAAGTGAGGATATTTTTATTCCTGCTTCTGACAAAGGGATGTTTGAAAAGTTAGCATTTGATTTTAGAGTGAGTTAGTTTTACACTGAGGTTAGCTAAAAGCTAAAGTACATCAACATATGACAATGAGTGTCCTCACAAGTGCAGCAGGAGAAATGTGTGTGTCTTTGTGTGTGCCCATGAAATGACTTGGCTACAACGGCCACCTGGAAGATCCACTTACAAGACAGAACAAAAGGTGTCTGGTACAAGAGCAGGATGAGGGTGGAGGGAGTGATGGGGGGGGGGGACCGTTGGATGACGGAAAGGGGGTCTTTCAGAAAGTGTGTGTGTGTGTGTGTGTGTGTGTGTGTGTGTGTGTGTGTTTGAATAGAAAGCTGGAGTGGATGAGATGTTGGCCTCTGCTCAGGTTTCAGGACAAAGGGCAGAGTGATTCTGTGGGTTGGTGGGTTCATAGACACAAACACCAAACAGCTTCTGGGTCTGAAGCCAAGCCAACGGTTAGATTGAAAGATTTAACATTTAGTGACACTTTTACTACACAGCCAACAAGCTGCTTCACTCTATATTCATTAAGGTTAGGGGTAGAAAAGCCCTGATGACTAATTCCTGGATTCATCAGTAAGGCTTTGGGAGAGTTCTGACCAAATCTGTGGTAAACATCCTTATAATATCTGCAAAGTAGTTCCTACCAGCTGTCATAGAAAAAAGTATTTAAACTTCTGGGATATTGATCTATTCACTTAAGCAGTGAAGGGGGTTGTTAATCAATTTTCAACTGCTTTGTTGTTCACCACCACATTTTGTTTGAGCGGCTGAACAATTTGGTGGGTGTATCTAGATCTGCTTTGGAGTGATTGTCATCATATCTTTCTGAACAAGTCTTTTGGTGGCTGTTTCTAAATACCAGTGCTCATCCTGTCCTCTTAGCTGTGGTGTGCCACAAGGTTCTGTATTGGGGCCCTTATTGTTTCTATTACATCTACTCTAAGCACCTCGGCCAGGTTGCTCTATTATTTTTTTCACTTTGAATTTTGGGTGTCTTTGAATATAACCCTCTGTAGGTTCATAATTTTTATTTTCATCAAATCACGTGACATCCTTCAGTTCCTGACACATTGTCCAGTATAGATATCCAGCATGATTTTTTCCCCCATTGAGATTTTATGTGTTTTCAAATTGTTCCTTTAATCTTTTAATTTCTTTGAGCAGTGTATAAGCATCACTCTCAGTGTTTAGTTGTTGTCATGCTGTTGAGTGTAACTTTTCTAACTGAGGGCAAAGACAAGTGCATCATTATAAAAATAGCTATGATGTTACACTGAGTACAAATGCATCATTGTGTTTCATTTCAGATGATGAAACTGTCCTGTCTCATTAGAGGCTGATTATTTCCACTCCAGTGGCTGGGATGGAGCGAGAAACTGTGAGCACACTGATGTGTTTTTAGATTAGAGGATTACAAAGTGGGACCTCGATATACCCAGAGGTCCTTCAGTGAACCAGAGGAATGGCTTGCCTAATTAGAAACACTTAAATTTCACTAGTGTTTTCTTTTCTCTACAAAGGTTTAATTCGCAGTTGGGGATGATTTCCTCATCTCCAAAATTCTTTTGGGGAGGAATATAACTGCATTTCCAACTCATGGTGGATTTTAGTCATCATCGACATACAAAACTTATGGTATCGTTCAAATATTAAGACAGATCTAGGCTATGTAACCTTACAAGGTTCAATGACTGGCATGACCATTCACAAAAACTACTCTGTCAGAAAATGAATGACATTTTGTGTGCCCTTGTGAAAAAATTTATGGCAAGTTGTGTTATCACACTTAATGTATTGAAATGTAAAGCAAGTTTTAGAAGGAACTTCAAGGAACTCCACAAAACCGTGTGCAGGTGTGATGTAACTCTGAAAAACAAGAACTCAAGAGTCTCACCTGCAGCTCCTGTGTGCTGCTGCTCTGCTCCATCTCTGTCAGAAGAGATGCAGCAGCCTTCAGCCAAACCCGGATACCCTGCAGCTCCTCTCGCACCTTTTCTCTGTCCTCCAGCTCCTGCCTAGCTGCCTGCAAACCCTCCCTGCTTCTCTGCTTCACACTGTGAAAACACACAAACATCCAGCCATTTAAACAGAAGCTAAGCAACTTTACGGCTACTTACCTAACATCCATAAGAAAATGACTGAATACAACATGACTATTGAATACAACATATGGGTCCTAATGCCAAGTGTAAGCTGGGAAGACCTTATACACCAATCGCCTTCTATGACTAACCTACTTAAAGCTGACTGCTTAACCAGGACTTATGGGTAACTTAGTCTCTGTGTGCCTAAAGAACAGAGATCATAATGAACATGGCTCATTTATGCATATGAAAGAGGAGAGCAATGAAAGTTTGTCAGGAAAAGTATCAATGCCTTCTTAATACTACAAAACTCCTCTTCTTTCTCAAGCATACTGCATCACTAAACACATATGTGTCTTGTAGGACGGAGAAAGTCCTCCTTTTTAGAAACATCACACTGCTCTTCTTTTATTACAGATGGATTATACACGAGACCACACATTGTCCAGAGCCACAATGATAGCTTTAAGTCAGGTCTTTCAGCCTTTGTGTGGTGAATGTTCCAGGATTAAATGGATCTGATTTTGCTGCTGGAGTCAAAAGATTATTTTGGTGGTTGTAATTACCTGCACAATTATGCATGTTGGTAGAAGTTGCAAATTTCAAACTTGGACTGTAGTTTCATTTAGAGTACATCAAAACATAAAGGGAGTAAAAACTTGCAAACAGAATAATGAGTTGCACATCAAACAATATCTCACTTGTCATATCGGCCCTGCATTGCTTGCAGCTGCTGACAGAGTTGAATAGGAGGAGCCTGCTCCAGGTGGGCATGGACACCCAGCAGCCTGGCAGTGCGCAGTTCCAGTGCAGACAGCGCTCTGTGTTCACAGTCCAGCCTGTCCTGGTACTGTTCCCAGGACTGCAGCACGTCCTGAAGCTCCTCGGTAGATGCCTTCACCTTGGAGCTGTCAGGAAGCTCTGCCTCCACTCCCTGCAGTAACACAGAGGCCTTCTCCACCTGAGAGGAAGAACCCAACAAAATTGGCCATTTATAATTAGGGTTAGCTAAGCATGCTCAAAAATGCTCAAAACACATGTCAATGTAAACTTACGCTGTCTGAGATATCACTCCATTCTCTGATTCTCTGTTTGCTACGAGTTGTCAGCTCCTGTGTGCAGTGACGTAGTCTTAATACCCATCTCCAGATACAAGTCATGGTGGTCTCCCTGCTTCCGCGACAGCTCTGCTCTGAACACCACTCCTGCAGCTCTTCCAGACGTCTCAGGAGGGCCTCCATCTCCTCTGCAAGTGCCTGATTAGGGGTATCAGTAAAAATGAATTCTGTTTCTGTGTGGATATTTTCAACTTTTATCCACAAAAGCATTAAAGTTTTTTCAGAGGAGGTTTATACTCACTCTAAGATTTGCCTCCTGGTCAGTGCAGTCAGTGAGACAGGTGACTTTCTGAGTGATGAGCTGTAAGAGTCTGTTCGCTGTACTCTTCACGCTCTGCATGATTTCTTCTTTGCACTTGATATAATTTCTGTGCTGCTCTGCACACCTGAAAGACAAATATGTTGATCTTTTAGTGTCAGATTTAAAATAAGGGCTCACATTCACAAAGGCTCTGCAGCTTAATGCCATTTACAGGTCTTGTAGTTTCTATCGTGCAATGACTGTTTAGTAAATGTAGTAAAATGGTGTTTGAAAAATGCTAAATAGCTAAACAAGAAAAACAAATATTTCCAATGCAGCGAGTGAAGTTTTTATTTTATTTTATAAATAACTGTTACTTGTGGGCACCAGTTTAGCTCAATGGGTGAACAGGAAGAAGTTGACAACTGTTGGTGTGATCATTCGTAAATGGAAGAAATATAAATGATCATCAGTGTCCCTCAGTCTGGAGCTCCGTGCAACATCTTGTCTCGTGAAATGAGGATGATCATGAGAAGGAGGGTGGATAAGCTCAAAACTAAAGGGAAGGAGCTTGTTAACGATCTGAAAGCAGATGGACCAGTCACCAAGAACACCACTGGTAACCCGTGACACTGTAATGGACTGAAATCTTGTGGCACCTGCAAGGTCCCCTTGCTCAAGAAGCCACACGCACAGGTCTGTCTTAAGTTTGCCAGTGAACAGCTAAAAGTGCCGTGGTCAGATGAAACCAAAAGTATTTGGCATTTTAGCAAAACTAATAAGAAGAAAGATAACTATCATTATTTCTTTGTTTTATCTTTGCATGTGCAATCACACACTTCTACCAAAAAAAGCTTTTCAGGAAGATAAATCTGACTTTTAGGACTGAGCTGAGTACCTGCTGAGACACTCCAACTTCACATGGCCCTTTGCCTGGAGAGTGGACATCATCACCAGGAGTTGGCTCAGAATACTCTCTTGGAGCTGCTCCACCTTCAGTGGGGACAGGTATGGATGCAGAGCAGTCTGGTCTTGGAGCTGTTCCACATGAATTTGAAATTGCTGCTGGAGTGAGGCTAAAGCCTGCTGGGTCTCCTCGACTCTGTCACCGCAGACCCCAGCAGAGCCCTGAGGTGGCAGCATAGACACCTCAATATCCCTCAGGAACTGTACAGCCTGTTTAACAGAACAGGTGTAGCTTCTCAGTGACTCCCTGGCCTGAGTGATGTTCTCCTAAAACAATAGGAAAACAAACAACACATTTTTTCAGATTGGCAGGTTCACTCCATAGTGTAGTTTTTTTTAAACCATCTGCGTAATTCCTTTGCTTTGTATTTTGCTTTTGTGGTTTGTTCTTTCAAACTGAACGTTGAATAACCTTTAAAACTGTGAAAAAGAACACATTGTTTGTATAGACTATATTCAAAATGACAAGACTGAAAAGGTGTTTGCTCCATACTGCTCTACCAAATATGGTGTAGTATTGCTGATGCTCTCTAAGTTTGAAATTGTTATTTTATATTTATACCTACTGGAACATAAAGACACAAATGAACAAATCTAACTATTGTGGAGGCTTAATTCAGCTGTATTGCATAGTAATATAACATATGCTTCACTGTGATTGGCTAAGCTTATTACAAAGCAATTAAAAAAAATACTGCAAAAACAAATTGAGAAATACTCAACACTACTTGCCATGTGGGATTCACATTGACCGAGGACTGCATTCTTCAAGTCCATCAAGTCTTGAGATCCACTTCTTTTTTTCTTTCCCTTCTTTTGCTCCAGCACCCCCAGTGCTCTCATTCTTGACTCCACAGTCTTTGTCAGAGACACCACTCTCTCATATTCTCTGTTAATTGCTGTGTCATTTGGCTCCAACGTGGGAAGTTTCTCAAACTCTTTCTGGGTCTTTAAGAGGAAGGCCTTAGTGGCTTTCCTCTCTGATTCCAGGTCCAGGTCCATCAGCAGGTTCCACTCAATGATGCTGAGGTTGTTATAGAGTGTCATCTCCAAGGTGCTAAGACTCTCCTCATTTTGCTTAAGCCTTTGTTGCTCTGCAGTCAGCTGTGAAGGGTAGAGGTCAGCAGAGATTGTGTGTAGTTTTGAGCGAGCCTCTTCACACAATCCCTTCATCAGATGAAACTGGATAAGAAGGTTCTGACAGATTCTGTACTTCTCGTCTGTGTCATTGCCATCTTCTTTTGTCTGGTGCACCTGTTCCTGAATGCTTTCCCTGAGATCCTCGACGCATTGCCTCATGTTTAGGTACCTCTCTTGGTCCCTGGCTTTCATTTCTAGGGCACACATTTTGCTGTGCAGCTCAGAGATGACAGAGTTCAGTTCTTTTGTCTTCTCATTGGGAATCCAGGGTTGCAGGAGGTCAACTTGCGACTTGTGTTCCAAAATCATGTGCTTGAAAGGCTCTAAAGCTTGCAGGGACTCTCTTGTAATGGGGAACCTGTGTCTGCTTAGATCCACCAACATCTGCCTTAGACTGTTTTCAACAGTGACAAGTTTTTTCTTGCTTGAATCTAAAGTCTGGGTGAGTTCATTCAGCTCCTTCTTGTTATTTTTCTCTTGGCTGCTAATGGTTCTGATATTCTCCTGGAGGTTGGTAAGCTTGTCAAAAAGCTGACAGTTCTCTGTGACACTGAATTCAGAAGTGATATCTTTGCTCTTAATAAAAAGAGCCTCACAGACTGCTTCCTGCTTCTCAGCCTCATCCAGGGTTTCTTGGATTTGGCGGGTTCTGCGATCAAGTTCAGCAGGGCTCCTGAGCTCACTGTCTGGACCCCGGGATGCTTCTCTTTGCAGATGAGCCATAACCCAGGAGTCTAGATCGGCAATCTGTTCAGATAGCTTTTCTCTGGTCTGTAGTCCTGATTCCACCTCTTTCACAGCTTTGGACAGCTTCTCATTGGTGGACTTTGAGAGTTCTTCAAGACATTTCAGAAGACTCTGCACCATAGGCACCTCTTCAACCTGGTCCAGCTGTGGAAGGAGTTCAGTCATTTCCTCCGCCAGTGACTCCAGCTGACCTTGTTTGGCCATCACCTCAGATTGCAGCTTCTTCAGATCCCTGAGCTGCCGGTGAACTTCCTCGGGGAGAAGAGCTACTCTCTTTTTCCTGCCCTCAATATCACTCTCTGTCTGCCTGGCCCAGGCCAGGCCTTCCCTCATCACTATGACAATTTTCTCCATGATAGGGCTGTTGCTGTTCAGGGTTTGGGCAGCCAAAAGTTCCTCTGTATGAGAAATTTTGTCCTTAACGCTCTGGAGTCCCTGATGGATCTCCTTTGTTTCCATCTCCCACTGTGGACTAAATAGCAACAGCTCTGACAGCTGTTGTAAATGGAGGTACTTCTGCTGGGCTGCTTTAACCTCAGCGTTTGCCTCCATCAGCTGTCGAGCCTTCTTGCAGTTCCACTGAGTAACTGATGGAAACTTGGCTTCAAGGTCTTTAATGATCACTTCCAAGTGTTCCTGCAAATCTGATAACTCTGACAGGAGGTTGCTGGTCTTGTGAGAACGGGCACGTGTGTGATGAAGCATACTCTCCACAGTTCTTTCCAGAACTCTCCACCTCTCTTGTAGGTTCTTCTGCTCAGTCTCTGCAATTGCTCGCTCATACCGGGTAAGGTGGGGGCACAATTTGCTATGGGTCACAAGCAGCTCTCCAAGTGCTGTTCTGTTCTCCTCCATACTTCTTTGTAAGGAGCCTAGTTGCTCTGCCTCCTTGGAGCTGCTCTCCTGAGGGGATCTGAAAGAAAAACAACAAAAAGTTTGCCGCAACAAATTGTAAAAGATTTTAGGGGCTTATCAGTTAGTTTTACAGACAAAGGAAGATGACAATGTGTGAAATAAAAAGTGTTAAAATATCTTAAAATACAAGTATTAAAGACTAAAATGAAACCATCGGATGGCAACTCACGTTTGAAGAGCGTCCAGTTCTGCGGTTGCTTTGTCCACCGCATTCTTAGCTGTTTGGATGTGCTGGCAATAATCAGTGACCATCTGCAGCTGAGCCTCCTTACTCTGGATAATATTAGCTGCATCCTGGGCAGCACTGCTCCACTGGTCCTCCAGATGCTCCAGAGTGTCCCTATTCTCAGCAACAGCCCCTCTCAACTGAGAGAGCAATGCTACCTGGGCCAGGGCAGCCTCTCTGCACTCCTGTATGCAGCAGGCAAGAGTGAGACACACAAAGGCTGAATTT